CACAGCCGGGCCCCAGCAGCGCGCCCACATCCTGCCGAAGCGCAGCGCAGGGCCCCTCCGCACCCTGCCCCTGATCTCGCACCTGGAGCGCCGGGTAGGCCACGCCCCCAGGCCCACCCCCGCTGGGAGGCCATTGGACAGCGGCTGGGAGCAACCTTTCAGGTCCCGCCCCCGCCGGGTCCTGATTGGATTGCGTCTCCTTGTCCCGTCCCCGCTAGGAGGTCACTGTAGCGCGACTCGCCGGTGATAGGCTGCACCTCTACCACTTCTCCGGGTCCCGTTCCCGCTGGGCGCTGATTGGAAGGTGACTAGCCACTGGCTAAGCTGCGCCGCCAATAGTCCTCCAAGCCCGTCCCCGCCGGCCGCTGATTGGAGCGTAGTGCCGCCGTCCTAGCTGTTAGCAGGCTACGCTGCGCGCGCTCGCCGAAGAGCTCCCTAAAGGCAGGAAAGACCCCGGTCTTCACTCCACTTTCTGAGGGCTGCCCTGTGCGGTGCCTGCCGCTACACAACAACCCTGAGAGCCGGGTCCCCTTTGCCCACTCTGACAACAAACAAACTACATAAGGGTCTGCCCACCGGCCGAGGCTATAACAAGGTCTCAGCCCCTGCAGGGGGGGGTGGAGTACTTCCGGGGCACGCCGAAACACACAGGAAGTGCTTGGCGGCGCAGTGGTGCGTATTGCTAGGCCGCGGGTTTGTGAGGCGGCGGCGCCCGAGGAGCTGCCATGGCGGACGTCACTGCACGGAGCCTGCAGTATGAGTATAAGGCGGTGAGTCCCGCGGGGACCTGGGCCCGCAGCCGGGATCGGGGCCGGTCGCGCCAGGCCTCGTGCCGGGGCACGGGGCGGGTCGGGCTGTGTGTTTCCATCCGTTGCTTTGAGGCCTCCGTCGCACGGTGCCGACATCGTGCTGCTTGGGAAGGGTGGAGGGTCGCACAACAGATGTAGCGGAGTCATACCTGCTGAGGAAGTATCACATCAAGTATCACTATGCCAAATTTTAACAGCATCAGCAATGCAGCAACAATCTCTCTGAAGTTTGTTTAAGGCTATGGATGTAGGCTTCAGTATACTGAGCATATCTTCTACATTCCTCCTTAATCCAATGTTAGTTACTTTGGATGAGATACTCCCATCGGTTTTTATCGCGGTTTTCTTCAAAATTTTTTTATG